TGACATCAAATAAAGAACGCAAGATTTTGCTGATGAGTTGATTATTACATACTGCTTTCGATGACGTAAGAACTCTGTTGATATGTATCTAAATAGTCACCAGAATGAGGTGACCAAGCCTACTGCTGACTGACATAATAAAATAGGATGGTAAATGATTGACTGAATATGCATCTGCATTTTTAATAAAGTCAGCACCAATTTAAAGGCAAACGATGCCACCAAACTGGCATAACCAGAAAAAAGAAAGAATGAATAGGGAATGAGTGCACTCAGTAACCGCGTGCACATTCCTACAGTATATTATACTTCGGAACTACTAAGTAAGGGGGAGGGTGAATGCTACTATTTGGCTGCTCTGACCTCAGTGCAAGCAGCTAAGAACAAAACCGTAACCCCCATAAACCTCCAAACTATGTAATAATAAATGCGCATTCTGGATTCCACTGCTAGTCACTGCCCATCATTACTATACATAACTGAAATACAGGCAATATCGAGCCATCAGCACAGGAGCCCATATACCAACACAGATTCATCAATTCAGTCAAATCATCGGCAGTGTAACACAAGCAATAACACTAATAATAATACTGTTTCACTATGCAACACATCTATAAAACAAAGTAGATGGAAAATAAAATCTATCTTCCTATCTAAGTACTACATCTGCAGACTATAACACAACGCTAGAGGTTTCATTCAGCTTTCGTAATCACTAATTACTCAGAGAGAGACTTCAATCAATACTTATGTACACTCAATACATTTTTAAAACTCACAAAGTTTTAGTAGATTTTTTTTACCAATGGAATAAATTAATGTCCTAAACAAATTCAAATATTTCTGATTATTTCATTCTATTAACCAACAACTGCACATATGCATACACTGAACAACCACCTTACATACAACCAATAACCATGATCAACACGAATAAATTACCAGCAAAGAGAACTCAAAAGAGTCAAAAGAAACCTATAAGGTACGGAATTGAGTAATAGGGATAGACTGACAAAATCAACGAAGAACCTCATACACTGGTGCATTGACTCAAGCTGACAAACTTCACTGTAACATACAAAAAATTAGGTGGATAGAATAAAAGTGATATTAAAGTAGACAAATTTGTGTGAGAGGATAAACAATTTGAAGATGAAGGTCAATACGAATATTCAAGTTTAACAAGATATCAAAGAGTAGTGATTACATCAGCTTTATTGTGGCTGATTTTCAGCCACATCACCATAAGTTATCAACCAGACCACAACAAGGTGGCAGTTTATAAAAGTCAACAACCAACTAGTACAACCAGAGCTCAAACAAGTTTCACCTATCACACAAGTTTGAGCACAAAGTATTTCAGCATAAACTTCATATAGCAAGTGTAATTCATGCATTTTAGTAAATGAGACTGCTTAAAACTGTTATGAATATATTAGTTATTTGAAGTTTGTTTGTTTTTTTTTTACAAAATAAAAGGTTTTGCAAATTATACGAAAGCTTGATTAATTAGTTGTATAGTTGATAGTAGTGGTAACAATATACTGTGATAAAACTGAACATATGCATTGAATTCACCCTGAATAAGTAAGCAATCCATACCAAGTGAAATAATAACAGTTCTCCTATTAAAAGTGAGGTTGTGATTAATACCATTAATGATGTTATTATAGAAGTGTGACAGGTTTCTGTTTATTGTCAGGATGACAGATTTCTTACTATTATTTCCTGAAAATCTATACGTATACAACACACACACACACACACACAGGGATTCAGGCAGGCTGTGGTTCACATTCCATGACACTTTTGTTTTCCTTTTTCTTCGTTTTTTTGGTTATTTCCAAATAATTTAAAAAAATAAAACCAATAATGTGTCAACTATCTAGGATGATATATATATATATATATATATATATATATACTAGTCAGATAAGAAAACAGTGTGTATTTTTAAACGATTCACATTCTGCAATTTCGGTGACAATAGAAATTCTCCAATCTCTGGTGAAAATAAGCAACAACAAAAAAATGGTTTGATGAGAATAAAAGCTTGAAAAAAATATAAAAATTTACTTACTAATCAACCAATCGATTTAATAATAGACAATGAGTTCAAGATGTGAGGAGGGGAATATTATAAAAACGGGAAGCAAAACCTGATAAGGGTAAGAATATTTGATACACCTTATTTACTGTTGTTTTCATCTATAATTTTGAAGAAAGCCATATTGACATGTGAATGCCCAAGGTTCATTAGATATACTAAAAAAAGTTGCTATGATACCAGTTTATTGAATTTTTTAAAGAAACTGAAAAGAGCTAGTTAGCTTTTCTACTGTGTGAATAATCTGACGCAGTTAAGAGTGAACAAAAGTAAATAAATGAAATCTAATTTTCAGCAGTCAAACTAAAAGAACCATATTATATAGCATATATGTTTTTATAAGATTACTGTACTATAAAAGAGATGGATAATGTCGAACGATTAGAGACGATAGACATACGTTTATTCAGTCAAACTTCAATTTCTGTCTCTAACACTGGTCACTAACAACCTTCGGAATAAGGTTTTCTCAGACAGTCATGAGTTCAAACATTATAGCGAAATTTCTTTGTTCGCAGGCAGCTGGAAACTAAACCTAGATTTTGTCTAGTGTATTCAATATACATGACAGACCAAGCATCAGAGAAAAGTAATTGAGATGCAAAACTATTTTCATCAAAAGGTAAAAATAATTTTATTCTACTCGAATAACCCTCTTTGTTTATCAGAGCTATTCTCGAATGCTTAAAAGCCATAAACAGTCAAATTTCAGGTTTGTCAATGTTTTCTTCAATACATGTTAAGTGATGATGATCAAGATGAAGTTTCTCAAGGTAACTGGAAAACTAAAATTTTCTGAGATTATAACCATCAAATACTTAAAACCTAATTTGTGTGTTTTTAAAAGGAAACTCTTAAAAGTTTTTCTCCACTTTGGTAACTCGATATCAAATTTTTACTGCCTAAGATAGTCCAGTTGTTAAATTGATTTGGAAACTTTCATCTTCATTTTATCACATACTTAGTTGAGCTTGACATACTCATGGTGAGTGAGACTGAGTTGAACTCACGATATATCACTAAAGTTGTTGTAGTAATATATCTGACTTTTGACTTGCGTTCCCTTATATTCTAGGTCCTTCATAAGTTTGTTCTGCTTGTATCGATTTTCAAGAAGCTGCATTTGTATAGTCAGGAAACTTCATTGTGCTCTGCTGATCTTCTTTACATTTTTCATTTCTTACTCAACTCTATTGATTCTCATCTCCAGGAACAACTATCTCGATAAGTATCTTGATGAATTACTGCATGTCAAGCTTCCCATATAGTTATTGATTGCTTGGTAATCCAAGTTTTAAGCAACTGTATGCAAGCTGACAAAATAAAATGCTGTTATGCTATTCTGCTGAAATTGTTGTTCATACTCCTTCAAAATTACTTTACGCTGTTGCAAAATGAAGTTACTGGAGAACGAGTAGTTTAATGCTTTCAATTGCGTATTGACCTTAATTGTCTGGCAACTTCAATAACAATCCCCATATATCAAAATAACTTATAACTAAAAGACTGATAGGTGAAACCATGGAAGTGAAGTAAAACAACTTACTGACCTTAGGCAATTATTTTAATGTAATATAATCTAATGAACCAAGAATAAAAGAGATGCGGGATAATATTTGTTTAAATATTGCTAATAAACGTGATTTTGAGCATTTCAAAGAATTAGTATCTTAACTTTCTGTTTAAATATTAATGTGATGACAGTTATCTGTAAAAAACAAATACCTGATGGGATTAGATGAGTTTTATTGAAACGTGTACGAAGCCGGTGTTTATTTTTGCATTACTTTGATAAACAATGAACAACTTTCAATGAGCAGTTATAGGGAACATACAAAATTGTTAAGAATAATTAAGAGAGTAAAGAATTCACAAGCAACTCTCAATCTACTTGTAGTAAAAAAGCAAACATGCATAATTACTGAACAGATCATAGCATAAAATGAAAATATGTTTACTAAGTCCTAAAGAAGCAGATAGATAAATTATTAATGGAACTGTTTAAGAAGACCATAGTTTAGAAAACTCATGGCAACCGGTAGAAATTCTTGATGGATTGAAGTAGTGATGAGATCTAGCTAACAACACGGTCTTGGAGCTTATACACTACAACACCAGGTCAGTCATCCGAAGGTTTTTGGTTCAAATTTCACCACGACCCAAGTTTTCATTTCATCATCAATCAGCATTAAGACTGATAGACTGTTGAAGTCAAATATATCATTAATTTCATTGTCATTATTATTATTAGTTACCACCATATTTAAACTGGCGTTTCCTTAATCACTCACAACGTAAACCATAATTCTACTTACAACGGATGGGCTTGATTAGTAATACTTCACAGCCTTTTACATTTTACGAGAAACTAAGCGACCGTTAAGAATGAATCTAAAGGTTATTATTCAAGTGTTCACTCTCAGATATATGTAACCAGGTTATATTGTCACAGTACCATTATTTCCTTAGTTTTCTCTTGTACTCGGATCGATCATATGATTGAGCATTGACTGAAGCATATTTCAGTTTGTATTCAGTGTCTACTACAGTGTCGTTTCTATATTTTCCTATTTATCACAAGAAAATGTTTCCGTTGTTAACAGATGCTCCATTTTTGGGAATGGAGTCACCATTTCATGTCATCAAAAAAAATGATGAACCATTATATTAATAGAAGAACAATTTAGATCAGATTAATGATAAAGGATAAACGAGTTCAAATACCAGACAAACTTTCATCCACATGAGGAATTAGGATGGCACAATGTATAGAAAAGGAAAGCCAATACAATGTGGGTCCACTTACAGTGTGAAACAGACATAAATGAGTCAGAAACATAATGCACCCGAATTACAATTCCTTTGACACTGATACGACAGATATACTTACCGATCATCTCTTCCAAGATTACGGTTGGATATACACAGTGTTTCCTTTGAAAGTTCCTTCCGTAATGCTTCTGGACCAAACTTTCTGAAAAAAGAAAAAAAACGATTGAGAGAACCAGGTAAAATCAACTACTATTGAATGTGAACTTTATTACTTTTAGTTTTGGAATGGAAAAATATGATAAAATATTTTTCCAAATGAAGAAAAAAGAAAATAAAAGTGTCATGGAATGTGAACCACAGCCTGCCTGAATCCCTGTGTGTGTGTGTGTGTGTGTTGTATACATATAGATTTTCAGGAAATAATAGTAAGAAATCTGTCATCCTGACAATAAACAGAAACCTGTCACACTTCTATAATAACATCATTAATGGTATTAATCACAACCTCACCTTTAATAGGAGAACTGTTATTATTTCACTTGGTATGGATTGCTTACTTATTCAGGGTGAATTCAATGCATATGTTCAGTTTTATCACAGTATATTGTTACCACTACTATCAACTATACAAACTAATTAATCAAGCTTTCGTATAATTTGCAAAACCTTTTATTTTGTAAAAAAAAAACAAACAAACTTCAAATAACTAATATATTCATAACAGTTTTAAGCAGTCTCATTTACTAAAATGCATGAATTACACTTGCTATATGAAAGTTTATGCTGAAATACTTTGTGCTCAAACTTGTGTGATAGGTGAAACTTGTTTGAGCTCTGGTTGTACTAGTTGGTTGTTGACTTTTATAAACTGCCACCTTGTTGTGGTCTGGTTGATAACTTATGGTGATGTGGCTGAAAATCAGCCACAATAAAGCTGATGTAATCACTACTCTTTGATATCTTGTTAAACTTGAATATTCGTATTGACCTTCATCTTCAAATTGTTTATCCTCTCACACAAATTTGTCTACTTTAATATCACTTTTATTCTATCCACCTAATTTTTTGTATGTTACAGTGAAGTTTGTCAGCTTGAGTCAATGCACCAGTGTATGAGGTTCTTCGTTGATTTTGTCAGTCAGTCGTACTTCACACCAATCATCTTCTGATTATAGTGCTCAACTTGATGAAGTAGACTAAGCGTTTCAAATTCCCCAGAAGAAAACTACTTCTCATTGCTATGTCTCAAAAGATTAGACAGATTGATCGACCAGATTTGAATTGTATTAAATAAAAAACACTTGCAACCACATCTTTATAAAAAGTGACGTGTTAGAAAAGTTAAAATCAGACATCTAGAATTGCATAGGGCCTCTCAGCAAGTAAATCCCAGCAAAAGGCTTCGATTCGCGTGGGCGTAAATCATTCGCCCTATCAAACACATCAATAATCTTCCATCTTGGGTTCATCAATTTTCCAGCTCGCATAATAAGAAAAAACTAGGAAGGTATGAGAAGGAAGTTGAACTAGTCTCTGACGAACAACTGTAGCAACAATCTGAATTCATTCAAGGGAGTTCTCCGTTCCGATGATTGTTTTTGACATAGACATGCTTTCATTCATCTTTACATTTCATTTACTTTAGCACAAATTTTTAGTCTAGCGACTGGTGTTCTATTTGAAAAAAGTGACCAACTGAAATCCCGAAATCCCAAAATCTTCAGATAATTTGAATCGGTTAGAAATTAAATTAGAATATATTGTTCATCAGTTCAAAAATACTTCGCAAACACAAAAATGCATCTTAACGTCTCAGAATTTCAAAGTATTAATAAGACCACGTAACAAGTCCCATATTATTATGCTTAAATTAGGTAAGGGATCAGGTACGCTTGCTAACATGAGGTTCAGTCACGATAGTAAATTTATGGTACAATTTTTCCATTGAAATAAGATCTAATTGAACTCCAGTGAAACATTGATCATTATGAATGTTATCAATGAAGATGAATCTATTTCACAAACCGGGTATCCTTGATAAATTTTATAAAGTCCTTCTAATATCTGGTAATAAATGGATAATGGCCAAAATTCAGAAATCATAGTAAGATAGGGAGTCAAGAAAATACAGAAAACTTAAGTTACCGCTCCCAGGTAGTACGAATTTATGTGTAATCAGCTTGAAGATTCTGAAGTTGTTAAAAGAATGACAACAAACTGGATTGTAAATAAAGATGATCACTAATCTTAGTGGCTCTACATAGGAACAAAATTATGGACAATCTTTCAGAAGTTTTGACTATCAACTTCACCACTATGCATGAAAAGAAACTCTCAATCATCTTTCTTACTCATGATAGTTGTTTAAAATTGCAATGCCTCATCTCCTTATAATAATTTATGACTAGTTTTGATCACTGTTAATTTACAGCTTTATAATTGTACATGTACTTACATAACCCAAGAATATTCATAATTTCTCTTCCTTTACAGTTCAGTTTATCACATAGTTTTTATATCGCTTTCAGGTGGTTTTACAGCTGAGGATGAACTGTAAAATGCAATGTGTTCATTTTTGTTTTCTGCAAAAGTCATTTTTTTTCTTCTTATTCAAAGATGAATTTAGCTGTGTCCGGTGTGCGACATTCGAATATCTGTATCTACGTGGTCAAGCGAAGACACAAAAAGGGACCAACAAGCTACTATATTCAACATTGTCTGTGTATGAAAAACTCATAAATAACATGGATAAATGGTTGATAAAACTCTTGGATAGTGTTGGAAGTCATTTTTGTCCGTTCTGGTTGAATGATACATTTGAACTCAGGAATTAACATAATTTTTAGGAATAAAATCTTACACTTTCACGATATAATTGATGTATTTATAAGCTTAACACCCATGAAGACGATTCCAATTTCTTGTAGCCACATTTCTTTGAACAGCCTGTTTTCCCTATTCTCCTTGCACTTCCAATATATTTCTTATTATTACATACTGACAAAGTTCAATTCAGATTTAAACGTTAGTGGTGCGGTGTCACAGTTACTCCTCTAAAACGTTTGCTATTCAACATGCATTCAAAACCTAGCTGAAGGTTTTATCTAAAACGTTTAGCTGAATAACAGATAATTGATGGTACAGTTGTTACATGTGGTTAGATAATTAAAACGATGCGTATGTTGAAGAAAATGAATCATGCCTAGAACCACACAAAAATTTTGTGAAGAAGATAAGAAAGAATGGCTGGTACAAAAACAAAACATACTGCTTAGTAAATGAGTGAGAATTCGAGAAAAGGACTATCTATAAGACGCCGACTTGGATAAGACAGTGTACATTAGTCGCCATAACTACCAACCAGTGTAAATTACCTAAGCGCTTATTTATTTTTAACTGGGTAGATGATGCAAATAATACATCCAAGTTGTTGACAGTAACACTGAGATGGTGTTATGAAGCTCAACAGTATCTACTATACTACCCAAAGAGACTTGGAATTTCCTCAAAAGTCCTCACGAAAAGATCAAGCGATCCTGCGTGTGAATCTCAGACTGACTAAATGAATTTCTAAAAAAGGTGATATTGACCGTCACCTTTTGCACATGTTCGACTTGACAATAAATCTTTGTCGTTTTTGTTGCTACTTCCTGTTTCCAAGGAACCAAGTGACCCTCAAGGGTGAAATCCAAGGTTATTGTTCAAGAGTCCACTTACAGATATGTATATTTACATCTACCACAAGGATACATCAAATGGATACCAGTTGAAATTTACCAGCAGGGATAAAAAAAGTGCAGCATCAAGAAACGTTCTCTACGTCTCCCCAATTTGGAGGTAACTGAAAAAAACTGTATTATGAATACAGGCAAGAACCTAGATTATTAATGCAACAAAACATATGCAGTTTATACTTATACATTAGCAAACCTCGTTTACAACAAAAAGGAATATCATTTGATCCATTAGACTTGTAAAACAATTTAAATAACTTCTGCCTTTGAAAAAAAATGAATTATTCACGTAACGTTCAATGAATAAACATAGTTGAATTGAAAGAAGCAGGTGGCAATATTCAACATCAACATAGTCTAGCTAAAGACAATTTTATCGAAACTGCATTCATCATCTATGAAGAACTGACTTAAGTTCATTTTACGTGTGTGACAGTAAATTGCCTTTCAAAAATTTGATTGATATTCAAAAGACATGATTATCTTTTACGTGAATACAAACAATTTCTGGTCTGTAAACAAGTTGCTTTCCACTGAAGTTATTTAAAAATATATATATACATATATCATTTTTTATCAACATGGAATCGTATTCATCTCAAGCGTTATCGTGCGTTTTATGAAAAACAGTCGTATGTATAACACCATCAATAGAAACATTTATTTTCAAGGAACATAAATTCAACAATCCTTGTATTGTACAATAACATGAAGCAAACAAAAGAGTAGTTCCAACTAGATAGAAAAGCACAAAGATTTTGTATTACTAGACACTCAGTGGAACCATAACAGGATATTATTCTAGTACACAAATTCGAGCAAAATGGTTTAAAAAAGATTAAGAACAGATAGTTATAAATTGTACAAAAGGTATCAGACTCTTCTGGATAATTCAATGAGAAAATGCTACAGATCCGTAGATGGATCTAATAAACAAGCTTCAGTTAGTGAAAAATTAGTTAATCGATTATTCACTGAGTGTTGTCTTTCACACTTTACAAATGTTTACAGATAGGTAGTACATAAACTAAGACCTGATTAGCAACGTCTCTCAACATTAATTTATAGTTTTCCTGAACTTCTTAGTATCTTGCAAATTATTCAAACAGCTTGTTACATGTCTGCAATTCTGTACCGTTTAATTAGCCTCATATTCTTCAGTTTTCCATTTTGTAAACAGAAATATTCCTTATCGTTTCTATTATGCGACTACAAGCAGAAATGTGAATGACTTTAATAATGTTAATAAATGACAAAAAAGGGTTTTACTTCATAAAATGAACAAAAAATCGTATAAAAATAACGTAGAGAGGAGAAAGAATACATTTTTCAGTAACTTCGTAAACTTCAGTTAGGTGAAATCACTGGCCTAATATAGATGTATGCATGATCAAAAAGCAAGTACAAAGCATAACAGAGATAAATATACAAATGCATACAATAGAACGAAGAAAACATTAAGAAAAAC